TGCTGAAAGCAAAAAACCATATTCGCTACTGCTGCCCAGCACCACCAGAGCGCATCACACTACGTATCACCAACCTGGAAAATGTCAAAATTCAAAAATTGAAATTTAGTTTCTACTGAATGTGTATCACTTTCACACTATCATAAAGTCAAAGAATCATGAAATCAAATCATTGTAAGTTGGGGGCCCTCTGTACTCAGTTGAATTTGTGATAGTCCACTGGCACTCTCCATTTGCTTTTTGTGAGGCCCAGACTGGTGAATTAAATGGAGGTGCATTGGGGACCAGCATTTCTGCGTTCTTTGTTTTTGGTTTTGTTTTGTTTTTGTTTTTTTGTGACAGAGTCTCACTCTGTTGCCCAGGCTGGAGTGCAGTGGCTCGATCTCGGGTCACTGCAACCTCCATCCCTCGGGTTCAAGCGATTCTCCTGCCTTAGCATCCTGGCTAGGATTACAGGAACCTGCCACAGCGCCCGGCTAATTTTTGTATTTTTAGTAGAGACGGGGTTTCAGCATCCTGACCAGGCTGGTCTTGAACTCCTGACCTCGTAATCCACCTGCCTCAGCCTCCCAAAGTGCTGGGATTACAGGCGCGAGCCACCATGCCTGGCCGCGTTTTTTGTTTTTAAAGGTGCTACTAATCACTGACATGCCCCTTAGGATGAAATACGGTTTTTGATTTATTGGTAGATGGTGGGAGGGGTGGCTTCAGAAGTTTCCACTTGGCCTTTTCCATCACAATAGCTTCTATCACACAGATCGAGAAACCAGTGTGGAGGTTGTACTAAATACCAAGTAAGTCCATTCTAATGATACATTCAGATACTGGGGAAATGGCCACTGTGAGCCAGACCTGGGTGACGATTCCACCTTGTGCCCCCACTAAAAAGGAGGCCTGGTGATGTCTTGGGTGATGCTTTGGGTCTGTGTTTCAAAATCAACTCAGATCCTGTGACTGACTGTTCCTGAAATGTTTGAATATCCCACTTTTCCCCAATATATGGTACCTGAGAAAATGCCCATAGATCCCTTTGACTCAGCATTAGGGGAATCATCACTACATACACTTGCTGCAGTCTCACGGGGTTCATTTTCCAGAGGAACTAGTTTCTGTCTTAGCCAGTGGGCTCCAGGTCTGAAATCTGACTCAGGTAAGAAAACTGGTTAAAGCTATCGTGTTTTTTTTTGGGTTTTTTTTGTGTTTTTTTTTTTTTTTTTTTTTTTTGAGACAGAGTCTCACTCCGTTGCCCAGGCTGGAGTGCAATGGCGTGATCTCGGCTCACTGCACCTCCACCTCCTGGGTTCAAGCGGTTCTCCTGCCTCAGCCTCCTGAGTAGCTGCGATTACAGGCACACACCATCACACCCGGCTAATTTTTGTATTTTTAGTAGACACAGGGTTTCTCCATGTTGGTCAGGCTGGTCTTGAACTCCTAATCTTGTGATCCGCCCACCTCGGCATCCCAAAGTGCTGGGACTACAGGCATGAGCCACCGTGCCCAGCCACCATAGTGCTTTTTTATTGAGGCAATTGCCCTATGCCTCCTGACCATCTTGATCTTTCTGGTTGAATAATGTGGTGGTTAATTTTAGGTGTCAACTTCACTGGATTAAGGGATACCTAGATAGCAGGTAAAGCATTATTTCTGAGTATATTTGTGAAGTTATTTCCTCAGGAGATTAGCGTGTGAGTTAGTAGACCAAGTGGGGAAGATCTGCCACATCCCTGCATCCCTGGTCCAAGGCCTTTGGACTTGGACTGAGCTATGCTACCAGCTTCCTTGGTTCTCCAGCTTGCAGATGGCCTCAACCATCACATGAACCAATTGCCCTAATAAATCTTCTCTCATATGTCTACATATATGTCCTAGTGGTTCTGTCTCTCTGGCAAACCCTGCTTAATACAATAGATTGAGCAATACTTTTGCTGGCTGTGCAACTACATTGCCTCTAGAGATGCCATCTCCTATCTCAGTGCCCATCAGGCTCCCCTGGATACATCTCCGACCTTGTTGCTCATTAAGATAACTGCACCTCTTGGCTTCTTGGCTGGGTGCGGTGCTCACGCCTGTAATCCTAGCACTTTGGGAGTCCAAGGCGGGCAAATTGCCTGAGCTCAGGAGTTCGAGACCAGCCTGGGCAACATGGTGAAACCCTGTCTCTACTAAAATACAAAAAAAAAAAAAATTAGCCAGGTGTGGCAGCGTGCGCCTGTAGTCCCAGCTACTCAGGAGATTGAGGCAGGAGAATTGCTTGAACCCGGGAGGCGGAGGTTGCAGTGAGCTGAGATCGTGCCACTGCACTCCAGCCTGGGCAACAGAGTAAGACTCCATTTCCAAAAAAAAAAAAAAAAAAAAGCAACTGCACCTCTTGGCTTCTGATGGTTGAGTACTACCACCTGGCCTCTATTATTTTGGTACCCATTATTCCCACTGCTATTAATAAGCCCAGTTATGTAACAACATCAGCCCTGCCCGTCAGAGGAAAGCCACTGCAGATGGCTCAGAGGTGCTGATTGCTCTCACCAGGCTATTCTTTATTGCTTTGGCCTTCCTGCAAAACAGTCATCTGGTGGGTTTGCAAGGCTTATATAGTCAGTTGATTCTATCATGTGCATTTCCTTAATCCTATTGACCCCTTTTTCCACTGCCGGGCATGACAATTCTAGTATTTCCACTTCACTTAAGCGTGGGCTGTCACTTTCTCCAAGTGTCTAAGAGCCATTTTAGCAGAGTCTCAACACCTTCTCCCAGGGTTCTTGCCCAGGCATTAAAACCTGTATCCCAGGAGGGTACACTCACATTGCCAAACACTCCCTTATCCAACTTTGTGTTCTATCGCCATCCCTGGATCAAGGACTTCTAGAGTTAAGTCTTATAGACACCCTCTCAGCTTTTAAGGTCCACATTAGCTACATTCTATAGAACTTTCAGAGTATTTTACCTTTCCTCCTGAGCAAGCCCAACACTTCCCTGTTGGTTTATACTGACTTCACTTTGATATTTATCTGCTGTCTAGGAAGGGAGGTGGGGACAGATCTTGAAGGAGGGTGCGTGTTATCTTTAAGGGTAGAGACCTCTTGATTGTCTTCAACAGGAAAGCATTAGTTTTTTTGTTTTTTGATTGTTGGTTTTTTTAGTTTTTTTTGGGACAGAGTCTCACTCTGTCACCCAGGCTGGAGTGCAGTGCTGTGATCTCGGCTTATTGCAAATTCCACCTCCCAGGTTCAAGTGATTCTCATACCTCAGTCTCCCAAGTAGGATTACAGATGCTCGCCACCACAACCAGCTAATTTTTGTATTTTTAGTAGAGACAGGGTTTCACTATGTTGGCCAGGCTGATCTTGAACTCCTGACCTCAAGTGATCTGCCCGCCTCAGCCTCCCAAAGTGCTGGGATTACAAGCATAAGCCACCACACCTGGCCAGCATTAGTCCTTAAAGCACGGGACTCTTAAATTCAGAGGTTCAAAGGAATCTGAGGATTTAAAACCTGAATGTATCAGCCCGGATGTCTCCATCTCTCAGGGTCCCATTTTTCCCCGGTAAGGACTCTGAGCTTGCATAACACACTGGGCTAAGCTGACAATTTAATATTCTTGGAATTCTGCAATTTTTTTTTTTTTTTTTTTTTTTTTTTTTTTTTGAGATGGAGTCTCCCTCTGTCGCCCAGGCTGGATTGCAGTGACATGATCTTGGCTCACTGCAACCTCCCAGGTTTGAACCGCCCAGGTTCAAGCAATTCTCCTGCTTCAGCCTCCTGAGTAGCTGGCATTATAGATGCCTGCCACCACGCCCAGCTAATTTTTGTATTTTTAGTAGAGACAGTGTTTTGCCATGTTGGCCACGCTGATCTCAAACTCCTGACCTCAGGTAATCCACCCGCCTCAGTCCCCACAAAGCGTTGGGATTGCAGGCATGAGCCATCGCGCCCAGCCATCTGCTATTCTCATAAGTCCTGGGCCTGGTCCTCAGCCTTTTGAGTCCTTCTATTACAGAAGAGAGTTTCTTAATATGCTGCCAAGGAGGCACAATGATTTTTACATTTAGCCTTTAATTAATCATCCTTATCCTTTCATTATCTTTTTCAAAAGCACTAATTAAGTACAGCAATAGCCAACCAATACCATTGTCTTTATTATTACTACTTGCCAACATTTCTCAGACTCCTAGTACATCATACCCTGGTGCACTCCCTTCCACTGGTACACCATCTCGGTTCATTACCAGTGAAAATTTTAACAATTGCACTGCTATCTTGTGCCTGTGCTCATCTACGGCCAAGGATGGAGTCCTTATTGCCAGCCAGGCAGCAGGCAATCTAGCTCCAAAATCCCATCTCAGCATCCATTTCCTATCCCTCCTGGCACAACCTGTCACAAGTTGTGTTCTCCAAGAAGCAAATTCTGAGATGGAAACCAGCAGAAAATTTCTAAGGGAGCACTCTCAGGTTAGACACCTATGAGTGGAATGGAAGGAAGTAAAACTGAGTAAAGAAGAAATTGAGCTACAAAGTAGTCCCAGCACAACCTGAGCTGACCCTGTGGGGAGTTTTGAATCTGTATGACCCTTCTGAGTTCAGGCCTTGATATACCCACATCAGCCAGTCACTGGATGCAGGCTGCCCTGCAAACAGCATGACCTTGGGCAAGGTGGCTCTCACCAGCAGAGATTAATTTGAGTAAGTATTCAGTTCTGAAGCTGGGATCTGGACAGTGTAGCACAGAATCCATGACGGCAATGCAAGGAGGCTTTTCAGAACTAAGGGGAACAGAGATGGAACTATCTTTCAGGTGAGGAAGTGCTTTGAGAGGTATAACCCTCTTGCTAAGGCATCATTGCTTTCTTCACCTGCTAGTTAGTATGATTTAATTCTAGTTACAAAACTTGTGTTTACTGTAGAATACGTTTAAAGTTGTTTTGTTGATAAGACTTCTAGAGAAACATCTGGCCAAAAATAACTATTTCCTGGGTTTAGAACAAGAGATCCGAGACAACTTAACCTTTGGTTATATTTCTGCTTTAATATATAGTAACATTTGAAAATACGCAGATATCCAGGAAAAAAAGGTAAAGCAGTATGAGGTATTGAGAGCACAACTGTGCTTTAATTTGGGAGTTATTTGGGGTGTTATGTAACAGCAATTGTACTTGTAGATAAACATGTCCACTAGCTCTGCAAACACATTCAAAGGTAATAGTATATAGTACACTCCACACTGTAAAATATGTCAAATACCCCCACTCTACAAATTCACTGTGCTTCACTATTTTTTTGTTTTGTTTTTATAAGAAAAGGGGCATATCTGTAATTCACAATCCAAGTCAGATTCTTAATTTAGGTACGAAATATTACCTGCCAATTTGCTTCTCAAACCATTTTTTAAAAAAAATATATTCTTTAAAGCCATTTTATGGCCATGGGAATCTAATTAATTTCATAATGATGTTGGCTGAATATGATACCAAAAAATGCAGGTATTTTCAAGAACAATAAGATAGATAACAGCATTAAAGCATAATCCTTTAAGAATTCATGAGAAAAAAAAGGATGATAAAACTTAAGCTTCTTTTTCAGATGTTTAAAAATGTCTATAAAATCCTTTGTCCCAAGGTTGATCATCTAACCATGGTACGCAAAATATGCTAAATACATTGCCTGGTGTCAAGGTGGGAAAATTCTCTTTTATATCATAAAATCCTCTTCTAATCCATGTTGACCCAAGTCCTGGCTGTCTGAGGGCAGATTCCTGTCAAGAGACCTAAGGTTGTCATGGAAAGCATCACTTTCATCTACTGGTTGGTAATCTTGTTCCATTTCAGTTACGAAGCCACTCCCAGATCCTGATCCAGAGCCGGAGCCGGAACCTGATCCAGAATAGTCCTCAGAAAGTGGGAAGATACGATTCAAGTCCTGGATTCTTGTCTTTCTGAAGTATGAAAGAAAAATGGGAAAAAAAAACAGTAGAGTTTGATATGTGGGAAAGATAATTTTAACAGTTTTTTTTAAAGATAAGGAGATAAATAGAGCGATCTAGTTGCTTAAATTAAGAGATTTAAAAGCTTCCAAATTATTCAATGTTTTAAAACCAACAAAAAAACAGGTCAAATGTTCCTATGTGTTTGCCTATACTTATTGCACCGATCAACTCCACATCTACCTATTGCAGATAAACAGTGTTAATTTTGTTATCACTAGCATATACATTCTATATTTGAAATTTACTTAAGAAATCATTTTTATTTTTATTTTTTTAATTTTTATTTTTGGAGACAGAGTCTTGCTCTGTTGCCCAGGCTGGAGTGCAGTGGTGCCATCTCGGCTCACTGCAAGCTCCGCCTCCCAGGTTCAAGTGATTCTCCTGCCTCAGCCTCCCAAGTAGCTGGGACTACAGGTGTGCGCCACCACACCCGGCTAATTTTTGTATTTTTAGTAGAGATGGGGTTTCACCATATTGGCCAGGCTGGTCTTAAACTCCTGACCTTGTGAACCACCCACCTCAGCCTCCCAAAGTCCTGGGATTACAGGCGTGAGCCACTGCACCCGGCCCAATAAATCATTTTTAAAAGAAGGCCTCTTGGCCGGGTGTGGTGGCTCATGTTTGTAATCCAAGCACTTTGGGAGGCCAAGGTAGGTGATCAATTGAGGTCAGGAGCTCGAAACCAGCCTGACTAACATGGTGAAACCCCGTCTGTACTGAAAATACAAAAATTAACCAGGCGTGGTGGCACACGCTTGTAATCCCAGCTACTCAGAAGGCTGTGGTGACAGAATCCCTTGAACCAGGGAGGCAGAGGTTGCAGTGAGCCAAGATCGCGCCATTGCACTCCAGCCTGGGCAACAGAGCAAGACCGTCTCAAAAAAAGACCTCTTTCTCTCTAAAGGGAGGACAAACTGCCAGGTGCGGTGGCTCACGCCTGTAATCCTAGCACTTTGGGAGACTGAGGCAGGTGGATCACCTGAGGTCAGGGTTTTGAGACCAGCTTGGCCAACATGGTGACACCCCGTTTCTACTAACAATACAAAAATTAGCCGGGCATGGTGGTGCATGCCTGTAATCCCAGCTACTTAAGAGGCTGAAGCAGGAGAATCGCTTGAACCTGGGAGGCGGAGGTTGCAGTGAGCCGAGATCGTGCCACTGCACTCCAGTCTGGGCTACGAGAGCAAAACTCCGTACCCTCCACCAAAAAAAAAAGAAAGGACAAACAACTAACAACTAAGTCAGCCCAGACAGATGACATTTTTTCCTAAATTAAAATTTCCATAAAAGTTCTAATAATTTACAGTGCTTCAACAAAGCTCACTTTTGAGAAATTCTTTGTAAGAAGCTAAGCTTTATATATATACCAGCATATAAACATTCAATTTCCTATCAAAAAATGACCCTGTCTCCAACTTGCATTCATTCAGCTGAAGAGTGCTGAAAGGTAAGGCTGCCTTCTGGGTTGACTGTGATGATTAGAAATTCAAAGAGCACAAAATGGTCCGAGCAATGACGACAGCCCTCAGTGACAGAATAGGATAACGAAGGATCAGAGACAAAAGCTGAGTGTCACAGCTTACAAGTCATTTCCTCCATGAAAATAATAAACCACCAGCATATAACCAATTAGAGTTTTAATTCATGTACACATTCAATAAATATTTGTTGAACATCTGGTCCTTGTTTTGAGGGCCTGGGATAGAACAGAGGCAGACCAATGAAGCGCCTGCTCAAGAAGTTTTTATTTTAGTGGCGAAGACAGACAATCAGTGAATAAATGAATCAGGAAAATCGTAGGTGGTACAGATAAATGAAATTGACTAATGTAATAGGGAGTGACCAGGTGGCTACTTTAGCCTGGGGTGTCAGAGCTGGAAACACAGATTTGGTAGTTAAACCCTTGGAACCAATGGAGGTCATCGACAGAAAACATGTAGATAGAGAAGGGGGACCAGGCCACAGCCAGGGTCACACCAACATGTTAAATATTGAGCAGAGGAAAAAGCACAACCAGAGAAGTAGGAAGAAACAGGATAAGGCAGGGCATGTAAGCCCCAAGACAAAAGCATTTCAAGGGAGGGGTCAACAATTTTTTTTTTTCTTGTAAAAGAAAGGGCCTTCTTCTGTTGTGTGGGCTGGAGTGCAGTGGCATGATCATGGCTCACTGCAGCCTCACCCTCCCGAACTCAAGCCGTCCTCCCACCTCAGCTTCCTTTGTAGCTGGGACCACAGGCGTGAGTCACCATGCCCGGCTAATTTTTCTATTTTTTGTAGATAGGGTCTCACTGTGTTGCCCAGGCAGGCTCGTCTTGAACTCCTGAGCTCAAGTGATCCTCCTGCCTTGGCCTCCCAAAGTGCTGGGATTACATGCATGGCACAGTCAGCCATTTTTGAAGGCAATTAAGGGTCAAGTAAGCTGAAAATAGAGAAGTAATCAGTGACTTTGTCAACCAGGGTGGAGTGTAGGAACAGAAGTCTAGCTGCAGAGGGGGTGAGGAAAGGAGGGAGCAGGCATGGGTGGCCCTTTCAGGAGATGTTATTGTGAAGAGGTGCAGAGAAGGGCAACTGCTGGAGAGGACACAGAGTCAAAGGAGAGATGTTGCCTGAACATAGGAGATACTAAAGTACTGAGATACTGATGGGAAGAAGTATACTAAGATACTGATGGGAAGAAGACACTGGGTTCGGAGAGATAACTGCAGAATGGAAGTCCTGGAGAAGATGCATGGGAAAAGGATACTGGCCATAAAAAGAGGTGGCCTTGGAAGCTGCAACAGCCAGGGTCCAATCAGGAAACTTCTCCAGATATTTAACACAGAGGGAATTCCTCATACAGGTGATGGAGGAGAAGTAAAGCCAAATGGGGGATAGAGAGGTAACCCAGAGATTAGCAATAGCAAGAAAATATTTCCCTCGGCTGGGTGCAGTGGCTCATGCCTGTAATCCCAACACTTGGGGAGACTGAGGCAGGCAGATCAATTGACGTCAGAAGTTCAAGACCAGCCTGGTCAACATGGCAAAATCCCATCTCTACCAAAAATACAAAATTAGCTGGGCATAGTGGCACGCCTGTAATCCCAGCTACTCAGGAGGCTGAGGCAGGTGAATAGCTTGAACCTGGGAGGCAGAGGTGGCAGTGAGCCAAGATCGCACCACTGCATTCCAGCCTGGGTAACAAGAGTGAGACTCTGAAAAAAAGAAAGAAAGAAGGAAAGAAGGAAAGAAGGAAAAGAAAGAAAAGAAAGAAAGAAAGAAAGAAAGAAAGAAAGAAAGAAAGAAAGAAAGAAAGAGAGAGAGAGAGAAAGAGAGAGAGAGAGAGAAAGAAAGAAAGAAAGAAAGAAAGAAAGAAAGAAAGAAAGAAAGAAAGAAAGAAAGAAAGAAAGAAAGAAAGAAAGAAAGAAAGAAAGAAAGAAAGAAAGAAAGAAAGAAAGAGTCCACTTACGGAAAAAGGTCAGTCCTCAGCCGGGGGATCTTGTTGGATTCACTTGGAAGTAGGTCGAACATTGGTCCTTTTTCTTCAATGCAGTTTGCAGAATTACTGTCTGGATTGCAGCGCACCCATTGGTACCTGGCTGGATAACCTGCCCAACAAGGAACCCACATTGTTACTAAGTATCTACTACACAGCTTCTAATCACTCTGTCCTAAGAAGCTTTTATTTTTGCTTTTTTTCAAGACAGGGTCTCACTCTGCTGCCCAAGCTGGAGTGCAGTACGGTGATCATAGCTCACTGCAACCTTCAACTCCTGGGCTCAAGCCATTCTCCCACCCCAGCCTCCTGAGTAACTGCGACTACAGGCGCACCACCATGCCCAACTAGTTTTGGTTTGTTTTGTTTTTTGTTTTTGTTTTGTTTTGTTTTGTTTTGTTTTGTTTGGAGAGATGGGGTCTCACTATGTGCCCAGGTTGGTCTCAAATGCCTGGGCTCAAGCAATCCTCCTGCCTTGGCCTCCCAGAGTGCTGAGATTACAGGCATGAGCCACTGCACCCAGCCTGCCCTAAGAAGGTTTTAACTAAATAGATTCTAAATTTGGTAAAAGGCAAAATGTAGACAGATTTTACGCCCATTCATATAACAGCAGCACCTACTATGTGCCAGTGTTTTATATAAATCGTCCTTCTTACTACATTCCAAAAAGTAGCAGAGTTTAAAGTTAGAATAGGCCTTGGAATCAGCTGCCTGGAGGGAAGTCCCAGCTCTGCTGACTCGTTATGAAACCTTAACTTCTCTGAACCCTTACTGTAATATGAAGATACTAATAGTGCCATAAATCTATCACAAAAATTAAACGAGAAAATAAACGTAAAGAATTTAACACAGTGCCAGGCACACAGTAAACACTTGATAATATTAACTGTTGTTACTTTTGTACTATTATCTCAATTTTACACAAAAGAAAATTGCAGCCACACAGGCTCTAAGTAAAGAATCCAGGATTCCAACCCACATCTGACCCCAAAGCCCACATCTTTTCATAGAGATGAGTCAAATCAGGTTCAGAAAGGGGAAGGAACACACTGTGTGGTACCCGTGGTATTACAGAATTCTAGTTCTTGTGTTTTAGGGCCATACAGGATCCTTAGGAATGAAAAGTAGATAACAATTTGTCCTGTGTCTTTGCACTCAGATTTCACAAGAACAAGTTTCCTCTACCCACAGAGGCCCAGGCAGCTTGGAATATCTGAGTCTCAGCTTCTTCTGAATTTCATTTCTACGGAAAAGGTTCCAAATCTGATGTTATAAGGTTATATAGGAGATTTATTTATTTATTTATTTATTTATTTATTTATTTATTTATCTTATTTTGTTTTATTTTATTGAGAGAGAGTCTTTCTCTGTTGCCCAGGCTGGAGTGCAGTGGCACAATCTCGGGTCATGGCAGCCTCCGCCTCCCGAGTTCAAGCAATTTTTCTGCTTCACCCTCTGAAGTAACTGGGATTACAGG